TGTGGGACTGCGTGTTGGCAAATGCAGCTGTTTAGAGGTCGGGGGGCATGCATGTCAAACGAGAGAAAGCATGCCAATGACATTTATGCCTGCCAACGTTTGAGAGCCCTTTATGGAATCCCCTTTCTAGATGCCTTACAAAACCGCTACGAACACATTGTAAATCCCTGATACCCCCTGCACAAATATTCTGTGTACTGCATTCCGAGGATGTGCGGGACGGCGCAGCTTCGGTGCGCAGGGCTGCAAGAGGCCCTTCGAACAGTCGCTCGAAGTTCTCTCGGACCATTCTGCACACTTCAGGGTTTCACAGTGCGAGAGAAGAAGCCCCAAACCCTGAACTGCCGACAGCGCCCGCTACTCTCTGACAAACAGAATGGTGAAGGGTCTCTCGTTGTGATGTACTCCAATACGTGGCCTCTGTTCTCAGAATCCTCGGGGGAGCCTGTGGCCGAAGCCGCATGCTGGAGGTGTTTACATGCGTTTGCCCAGGTAGACGTGCTTAATTTTGGTGCCACTTCTTCGGAAAGGCCTCACTTGCGACTGGGTTCTGCTACTCCTTCAAACAGGATCCCGGAGGTGTCTCCGCGATCCTTCGATATAATGACGGGTCGCTCCTCGACGGTTCAGGCAGAAGCACAAGAAGAGTGCACCGAGCGTGTGCAGGATCTATGGAGCCAGGTCTGATTCAGGATGGGACGTTTCCTTCGGCGCCTCATGCCTGACCCCAAGACGAGAACCCAAAATTCCAGAATAAGAAAACAAGCAGAAAGAAGCCCAGCTGGGTAGCCTCACTAAGCGGGCAGGCAGTGCGCCTTCAAGCGACTTCTCTGTGTGAAGCGACCAAGAGCTCATGATTCGCATGCCTTCTACTTTCACATCGGCCTCCCATGCCAAAAAGATCATGCCAGGTGCAAACACGCGCACACAAGCAAACAGAAGTAGCAAAACTCAGCAGGGCTTCGACGATTGAATCAAAACCCGGAGATACGTGTGTATATAAACTTTAATATTTGACTCTATGTATATATATATATACATACATATATACATGTGTATATATATATATATACATATACATATATATATATATATTCATATGTATGGAGATGTACATATACATATGTACATAACTAAAGCCAGATGAAGGAGGGGCCAGAGACACGGGCAAACAAACAGACAGAGCGACAGAGTCACAGGCTTGTAGAATCACGACCTAGAGTAGGCTGAGACCACCCATTTACCTTCTTTCATGCTGGAACTGGCTCCCCCTAGGACGCCTGTAAGAAAGACGGCTCGAATCCATCATGAGTTGACTAACAGTTCAAGCATGACGTCGTCCTAAAGGGATCCTCTTATAAGCTGAATTCAAAGCTATCATACACAGCTGGGAGAGCACGATCGCTGTCGTAGCAACCAGGGTAGGTGTGTCCTGGGCAGTCGGAACACTGAAACATAAATCTCCTTCTGCTGTTGTTCAAGTTTGAGAGGGATTCGCAAAAACAAACGCAAAGCAAGTGCTACACAGGGTAGCCTAGAGGTGTTGCAGGCTGTCCGGGTTTTAGGTTTCTGGTGCTTTTCAGGGTGTCTAGGGGTTTCCGGCTCGAGGGTCTAAGACTCTTGGGTGTTTAAGGGGGTGTTTACGGTGTAGCGCATTAAGGTTCATGGTGTCGGGCTTTAAGGCTTTAATAGCCTAGAACAATGCCACAGAGATGACGAGAGTAACGTTTTATTTCAACCACATTCCTCACCGTCAGAAAGCTGCAAATAAAGGCCCCTCCACCACGAAAACTCGTTCGAAGACGTCTCTGGCCCGCAATGAGACCCTGATAACTGGAGGCTTCCGGTTGCTCGCATCATGCAGGTTACCCGGCATGTTGAAATACTATACAAGGCCTCTGTCAGAGTGTAGCCATAAGGCCCCGCCTTGTCTCCCGACTCGACCATAGATTCCTAGACTTTAACCAACAATCAACCAACGCTTAAAACTAAAATCTTGGTACCAGCCTTGGCCTTGACTTTCCCATTCGATGTCAGTAACTCATAGCAGTAAACCCTGAAGCCCTTAAGCACGATATGTCACACTCTGCCGTCCACGGCGCACGCGAGCAGCGAGGGACCCTCCGCTGATGGAAGGGAGGTTGACGCGATCCAACCTTAGCTGGTTGCGAATATCTTCGTGAACTTGTCTCCGGGAAGCTGAGGTAGTGTAGTCGTAGTGGTAGTGGTAGCAGATGTAGTCGTGGTAGCTGTACTGCAGTAATAGTCGTGGTGGTGGTGGTGGTGGTGGTGGTGGTGGTGGTGGTGGTGGTGGTAATTGTGGTAGTTAGGGTAGTAGTGGTAGCAATGGTAGCAGTAGCAGAAGAAGAAGCAGTAGTAGTGGTAGTAGCAGTAGCGCAGCAGCAGTAGCAGCAGTGGCAGTGGCAGTGGCAGTGGCAGTGGGATTGGCGGTGGCAGCGGCAGCGGCAGTAGCAAGAGCAGCAGCAGCAAGCAGCGACGGAAGCAACAGGAGCAGCAGCCAGCATGTTATCTGTATCCTTCTTCCCACTCGTCAGAGCCATCGGACCAATAAACAGAGTGTCAGGAGCATGCACTGTGCACAGCCGAGCCCGCGTTGAAACTACTCAACAGTCCAGGTGCTAACCTTATCATAACCTTCGTAATTCGCACTGTTCACCTGCAAAACCTGGGCATTCGGTCTCCCACCCCACCTCAAGCTCCCCAATGTGTGCAAAAGCCGGTCTCAAGACGAACCAGGCCGCAGTTTGCCAGCAGCTTCCGTGCACTCGGTCGCTCACGGGGGGAAATGCTGGTGCCTCCGCGGGCAGCCGGGCTTTCGAGGCATGGGCCTGTTTAGGGGATTTAGGGTTTAGGGTTACTAGGGTTTAGGGGAACTTTAGTTAGGCCCTGAGACATAAACAGCCACAAGACGCTGCGGCAGATTTTGGGATGCAAGTTGAAGATGCGGCCTTTCTGTTGCACAGCTTTGCTCTCGGCTTCAGGGTTTGGCACGCTATAGCGGCTAAGTTGAGCATCATTCCCCAATGTTCTATAGCCGGTTGGAGTCCATGTCAGCGTCTCGAAGTTACTGCAAACTTGCAAGGAAACCCTCAAAAGACCCAGGCAGGAATCATGAATAAGAGCTCCTGAATCCAAGAGAGAGACAACCTGCTGCCAAGATGCAAGCTTTCACCAGGTCCCGGAGTTCACCGTCGACCTTCGGATTGACGCGCGGTTCGTGGTTTAGGGAATAGGATTTCTGCAAGGGCCTGCATGGCATGACCCCTGTATCCCCTGTCACAAGGCTAGTTAGGGAACTCGCACTCAGGCTCATCGAGAGCAAAAAGGGGCCTAAATAATTACCTATACTATTGGGGGGTTCCTCATTATTGTTACTATAGTATAATGGGCTCTAAACCCCTGTCTAACTGTTAAGACCCCTATGTTAGTTCGTTGGAGGTGAGACCAACCCTTGACGGGTCTGGTCTTCGGGGATGGCAAATCTGCAGGCTGTGTTGTCTGGTTAGGGATTACGATCTTGGTCGCCCTATAATTATTGGGGTTTCCGAAAATAGGGGACCCTATAATATAGCAACTTGAATACTAGTTACCCCCCCCATTTTCAGAAACCCCCAACTTTTATAGAGCGCTTTAAAGGTACCCTTATAGTACCCTTAAAAGCCCCGTTAAAGGAACCATAAGGTACCCCTAATTTTCGGAAACTCCCATACAGATAACCTCACCCTGCCGCCCTGGCAGGGGAAGAAATGCCAGAAACGACCGGAACCTCATCGCATAACTAAAATGTAGGAACCTGAGTAAGAAACCCTGGGTCTTTAATAGGGTTGTATAAGGGTTCCTTGAAAGGGTACTTTAAGAGTTTTGGGGGGGGTTGATGTAGGAACCTGATAAAGAAACCCTGTGTCTTTAAGGCTCTTTATATGGATCCGACCGTTCTTGGAGTCTCGCGGCAGGGTTGTCTTATTCAGGTTTCTGCCTTAAGTCTGGGTCGGTGCTTCCAGCAGCCCTCAAATCCAAACGCGCTCAGAAGAAAACTGCATAAAAACCTCAAAAGGGGATTCACCAGGTTGCGGCATTGATACAACGCGTCAGGTTTAGGGCCTCATGTAGAGCCGTTGGGTTTTTGAGGCTTGGGGCTTTGGGCTATGGGGCCGAAAAAAGATCATCTGGGCATTGGGGGTTCAAGAGTTTTGATTCTTGATGTAATGGTTTCGGGCCCGGTGTTCTATTTTGCTGTTGGTTTTCTCCTCACGGCTTTCGGCCTCATGTAAGGCTTGTCAAGGTTATGTAGGGCATGGGGCTTTAGGGCCTCAAAGACACAAATGCCTTGTAAGTGAGCCGGTGTCACACAAGGGCTCCTAGACGATTCACGCATTAACGCATTGCAGAGAATAGGGTTCAGGACATCAGGTCTTGAGGGTCTTGATGCTTTAGGCTCTGTAGAGCTTGCGCTGAAGCCCAAGTTTACAGCTACAGTGCTACAGAGCCCCTCATCCCAATCTTCAGCAGCCTGCATCAAGTTTGCCGAAGCCCTACAAGAGCTCTACTCCTGGTGCCCCCCTCCCTTGCTGTGCAACCTGTAGGTACTGCGGTGCAGCAAAGTCACTACATTAATATCAAAATCATATAGTGCTATTATAGTCGTCTCAAAATATTACCATTGTACGAAAAACGGGACGTCTCATGGTATAAACTAGAACGTCGTGTCAGGCCCGGGTCCCTGCAGCTTGGGCTGTCCAGCACCTTTTCTTGTGCTCGTGCCCAGGCTTGCCAAACGCCTTCGGCGCGGCACAATGCACATCCCACCAAAGGGCTGGAAAGCACGCAACCTGGCGCTAAAAGCAACTTGTAGCACTATAATCATACGAGAATACTGCTGTGCTGGTACGATGTTATTCTTTTACTATACCATAGCATTCGTAGACTACTATTCAAGCAGTATTACAAAATTTCATAATACTAATATAGATGCAAGTGGCTCAGCTGACGAGCAAGCAAAGGAGTAAGAGGAGCATGCATGGTCCTGTTGCTGTCCACCCAGTTCGGGAAACAGCGGCGGCCACCTCGAAGCCGGAGCAATTGATTTCGGGCATGGTGCCTATCTCATAGCATGCCACAACCAGGAACATCATCCAACTCCCCGAAGACTTCGAGGCACATATGCGGCGCCCTTCCGCATAGATCGTGAAGTCCGAGTCATCCCGGTGGCCGTTGAGCCTCAGCTCCCGGTGCCCGGCGCAGACTGGGCACTCCAGGGCCTCCGAGACATCTACACCTCGGTTTTTGTTGGTCACAAAAAGTCCTAGATCTATTAGTGTATCTATTAGAGTACCACGAAAACGGTATACTGTGCAGTCTGCTGTGCAGTATGCCCTGATTTACCATAGTGGCCATAGTATGTCTATGACTTGCCCAGCGACACTTCGGTGAGGTGTCACTGCTGCCGATCTCCACTACACGGGCTGTGCTGGGCAGTGGCGTAGGGTTCTGGACGGCAGCGCACTGCTGGCCGTCCCAATAACAGGGCAGGCCCGGTCGGCAAAGCTTGTGCTCCAGTTGCTCGCATCTCTGTGCTGTCGTGCAAAGGCAGCCACAATCATCATAACACTTATTCAGGGGACAGTTGCTACAACATGCCCACTCTTCATTCTTCTGCACCCCATAAGGTGATGGCACCTCGAACATACTGTTGGGGCACTGGCCCTGCGACAGCCACGGCCAGTCGGTGCTCGGAGGCGCGGTTACCTGAGATGTGGTCACCAAGGGACCATCTGCTTTCCCTGTGGACCAGAAAAAGTACCCAAGAAGCAACGCCCTCACTGGCCGCGACATGGCTCTACCCCGAGGCAACTTTATTGGCCGCCGAGCTCAGCATAGCGAGTGCGCAGTGCAGTAGTTTACATGATTCTGTAGGAAGATATCAAGCTGTAGAGTCGTCGATATGACACAAAATTAAAATAGCGCAGCCATACTACAGCAGGCAAATGTAGCGTGCTACATATATATATATGTACATGTATAATTACATGTACACATAATATATATATATATATATATACACACACACACTTATTCGGTAATTGTTATATGTGCGTGTATATGTATAAAAGTATCATGAAACATGTATATACATATATCAACTTATACAGATCAGCCATGCTGCTGCAACATGACGAGCCAAACTGAGGGTTTCCCAACTCGGAGCAAGCCCGACACATCAGTGTCGCAGTTTGTTGAAAGGTTTCTGGGAAATGCATCTACTCCCACTCGCCGCTTCTTCCCGCTGCATCAGACAAAAATTGGGTAAAATAAAGCATACTGTAGTATAGTCTACTATAGTATACTACAGCACGGTAAAAATGACCAGAGCATCATGACAGGGACTCATATTTGAACGGTTGTCGCGAATATTCGCGACAGCCGCGATGGTGGTTCACGCCAGGCTCCGCGATACCCTAAGCCCTGTGTAAACGGCTGCCGCGATTTGTCGCGATTGCTGCGATGATAGCTCTACGAGACTATGGCATAACTTAAACCCTTGACCCCAAAATGTGCGCCACATCATAAACCCCAGCACCTCAACCCTAAAAACCTACACTACGCTACACTAGGTGCCGTTTGTTTGTCTTAGGGGTTCGAAGGCTTTTCGACCCCCATTTACTTTCGTATAGCCAAGTCAAGCAGTACAGTAAAAGTTCAGTGGAATATCTCATAGAGCATGTCTAGTTCATGCTTCGGATAGGATTACAAATAAGAAGTGTATTCCTCGTTGGGTTTAAGTAACCATAAAGCTGTAGAATATTGTAGAATGCTACCCCAACTACTACTATGACGAAGATATAGTGAGCTAGACATAGCGCTGAATTGAAGCATACCGTGTATGTCAAGTACGTGAAACCTTCGAATCGCCAGCGCCCCGAAGTCAAGCAATGCGGAAGTCCGGTTGCAAACTCCTGCAGCTACCAAGATGAGCAGAATAATCGACATAAGAAGCCACCAAGCCTCCAAAAGCAAGAGGGTCTCTCGGAAGACATCACATGCTTGAATGTGCACCCGAAAGACAGGCTGACTAGGCCCCCAAAGCACCCTTATCCGGAAGATATCCCAGACCATGTCCGTGCCGCCTGCTCGGGCAAAGGAGGCATTTCCTGTCGCAGGGGCAGGAGATCATTTTATATAGTTGAAGTAGATTGAAGCCCTACCATGACAACAACAATAACAGCAGTAACGCCAGCCCCAGCAGCAGCAGAACCAGCAGCGGCAGCAGCAGCAGCAGCAACAGCAACAGCAGCAGCAGCAGCAGCAGCAGCAGCAGCAGCAGGAGGAGCAACAGCACCAGCAACTGCAACTGCAACAGCAACACTGACAGCAACAACGACAACAACAACGACAACTACAATGACAATTGCAACGACAACAAAACGACCACCACCGCCGCCACCACCACCACCATCAACAACAATAACAGCAACAAAACAGCAACAAGACAACAACTGCAACAGCAGTCGCAGCCACAGCCACAGCCAGGCAAGATCAAGCGCAACTATTTCCGATTACAAGTACAAGTGCAGCTTCAGGACCCTAGGAACAGCAACAACACCAGTACCTACAACGACAACACTCCGGAAAACCTGTGGCTACTTCTTGCTCATGTGCCTTCCAGGACAGAGTAGTGTCTTTATGGTCTGGGGTCTGGGGATATCGGATGGACGTCATCTGAAGCTCGGATTGCCACAGACGAGCTATGAGGCAGATTTCATGTGACAGTATGCAGCCGACCCAGGAAGAATACAGCAACCTTGCCGAGAACTCCAACGCTACATACCACCACACCCATCAACCTTATCCGTAACTTCCCCCACCAACCTGGGCAGTGGCCACGTGAATCATTGCCGCAACGCTGGTCTCGAAATGGCCCCATGGGGCCTTGCCCGTAATCATCTCAACCTTTGCTCAAGGGCTTCTGGTAATGTAGGAACCTGATTAAGAAACCCTGGGCCTATAACCCAAAATAGTGGGATTCATCTAAAACCCTGGGCCTATAACCCCAAAATAGTAGGATTCATACAGGGAGCCCCTTAAACGCCCAAGGTTTCTTAATCAGGTTCCTACATTAAGAGCTCATGGCTGAGAATTGCCGCTAGGGTATTGGGGCCCGTTAGACTATGATTCTAATGAAGAGTCTGCTTGAAAGTAATTTTTAATTTAAGGCCCCCATAATGTAATACCCTTATAGATCCCCTAGAGTCCCCTGTAAAGGAAGCCCAGTATCGGTAATTATTGAGGCCCCTATATTTACATGAAGCAGCACACGTCATGCCACTCTTACACGTCTGCTTTCTCAAGCTGTTCAGCTCTGTGCTGGTGTTGTTGGTGGTGGTACCATACTGTATCCTACCCTATAATGGTATAGTATGCTACATTATACTATACTTCTTAAGGTTGCTATTGTTTTCGCTCTCATTTTCGACCTGGCTGTTGTTGTTTCTGGTGATGTTGTTGGTTTTGCGGGTGCTCTTGTTGCTGCTCGTGTCACGAGATGGCAGCAGGGGCGGCACTGCCTTGTGTTGCTAAGGGGAAGATGCCCACGAGGGTCGGATTTGAATCGGGAAGCTTCCGAGCATAATATACGGGCCTTAATAGTGAGACTAGGGTGTTGGGGCCCAGTATACTGTATTTATAATTATAATAAGGAACTCCCAAGATGGTATAGTTAATTATTTAGGCCCCTACATTAACCGACACCATGGTGAACAAAGTAGGATGCCGAAGCAGTCGGCCTCCCTGATGACTCACCTTCATATTGCGGCTTTACAGCTGCTGTTGGTACTTCTCATCCTCTGGCTAACCTCCACATCCTTCTACGCCTACACCCTGCAAGCTGCTAAGGCCACAAATACAGCCGGAACCACAACTACATGCGTTTGAACTGTGCGCGTGTGCATGCTGGCCACCAAGAAACAAGGACGCATCCGAAGCTCCAAATGTCAGCAGTCTTTCCATAAGGCTGCTGGTTGAGGACTTCCTCGGTGAAGGGTTCGCGCTAAGCTCAGAAGCTAGGCCGTCGCAGGTTCGAACATGGAAGCATGACACAGTTGAAGGGTGTGTTGCAGGCTACTGGACATGGGCGCATGGTGTCGATAGAATGCAGTGCAGAGCGTCCTCGAAACAAATGCACCGAGTGTCAGGAGCCATCCACTGCACAGAACCCCGCAAAGTGTGCATAGCAGTGCCAGACCTCAACTGCACAAACACGGCATGAGCCTGGCTGCATCCATGTGACTGCTTCGGAAGACCAAAGTTGTGTCATGACTAATCTCAATGCCAACTCTGTCTGAACAATTATCTAAATTGTCAATGCGAAGGCTCTGTGCACACAGCTTCCAGGTTCATCAAACCCCTGCAGCATGGTCGTCAGAGGGCCCTCATGGGCAGGTCTTGCAGTCAGGACACACCCGCTTTGCACAGCCAAAGTCGGCCAGCTTCACGACACCGTCGGGACCTGCAAGTGTAGCAGGTACCTCCTTTCCGTTTCTGCAGTTTGTCAGCGATACCTGAAAAGCCACATGCCATAAGTGTGCCCGAAGCCAAAAACATCAACTTCTACACGAAAGATCGTCGATTGACCGTCCCAATCCACGGAACCCAACCAACCAACCTACACTTCCAGGAAAACGCCGCAGGCAGCGGTTCCCCCATTACCACTGGCCAGCAGCTCGGGAACCCCAACTTTCTTAGGCTGTGCCTAAGAGAATGTTGGCGGTCTTCAGGTCACGGTGTAGGACCGTGGGCTTTCGCGTGTGCAGGTAGTGCCTCAGCTTGTTTCTTTCCCTCTCGCATGGCTGTGGAGTCTATGCCCGCTCGCGAGGTCTGACTTTGGGGTTGTACAGAGCTTTGCAGTTACGCCTTCAGCGACTCAGCTTGTTCAGGGTTTAGGGTTTAGTTACTGCGCCAGAAAAGCCACAGAAAAGGCAGCTAGGATGGGTTAACGGGAACATTGAGGCTTCCTCAGGCGAGCTCCCTATTTGTTCAATACTGCACCCCAAGACCCTGCGCTTCGCCGACTGGAACTCCTAGTACAACACACTGGAGACCCCAAAGTCAAAGAGACAGATAGCGTGTGCAAAACCCTCGAGTCCCTAGTAACTTGGTAGAGCCCTTAAACCACAGCTCCTGCGATGTGATTCGAAGCCCTAGCCTGCCACTCCACCCGCCGCCAAGTGAAGATGCCGCTGCGCGTACTGCAGCTACAACAAAAGGATCTCTGAAGCTTGCTGAAGCCGCAGCATAGGATGTCCAAGGGTCTCCTACTTGTCCACTAAAGAAGATTCACCTTTGGGAGCATATTGGGATTATACCGGGATTGTAGCAAAAATCCCACAAAAGTTCAGTGTTACCTACTCTAATACCTAGGGTTTTTTGTGCTTAAACTTCAGCCTAGGCCGTTTTTCCATCTTTGGTAGAGGAGCGAGCCTTGACTTCGGCAGCTCCATATGGGAGTTTCCGAAAACTAGGGGTATCTTAGGGTTCCTTTAAAGGGTTTTTTAAGGGTACTATAAGGGTTCCTTTAAAGGGCTCTATAAGGTTTTAGGGCTTCCGAAAATTAGGGTACCTGATTTTGGGGTCCTGATAATAAGGATCCTACTATTTAGGGTTCTATATTAGGGTCCCCTATTTTCGGAAACTCTCATATTGAGAAACAGAACTGGGAGCCTACAGCCCCCGAAGAACCCCTGTAATTAACATCCTTATAAAAACTATAAGACCCACTTTGAAACTGAAAACCCGGACCCTGTAAGAACCCTGTAGCTCGAAGCCCTAAACCGTATAAACACAAAGCCTATAATACCCTAAACCCTAAACACCCTAACACGAAGACTACAGGGGGTGGGCTTCTTTCCTGAAGCGAAGCTGCAGTCCCTGCAGCACCTGCCGGGCGTAGCCAGCAATCTCAAGCTCTTGTAGCGGTCCTGTAGGTTTTGGGGTGTTACTGTATGGTTTACTTCTAAGAGTTGCTTGAAGGGTTAGATTTGGGGATCGGGAGTTTGAGCTGTAGGGTCTAGGTGAGGGTTCTGCAACAAGGACTCCACTATAAGGGGTCTCGAATTAGGAATTTTCAGGGTTTTAGGATGAAGGTTGCAGGAAAAAGGGTATGAGTAAAAACCTGAACAGGGATTCTTTGGTCAGTGGCACGGCGCTTGTGAAGTTAGAAGGCACGAGAAGAGCCAATGCTAATTATTCAAGGTCTCAAGAAATTGGGCTGAATAGGCTCCTCTTTTTGAAGTCTGTCGGGATTAGGGCCATTAGGGTTTAGGGACTTAGGGCTTGGGGGGGGGGGGGGTAGTTTTACGCGTCTTGATGCATCAGTTCGATCCTTGTGAGGCCTCCTCCGTAGCTTTGTAACGCTGTCGGTTTTGGATATACACCTATGCCCACAGGCTCCACTGGAGTTCCTCTTTGGGATTGCCTTATGGGATCCTAAATATAAGCCACTGAAAGGAACTACCATGGAGCCTCTAGTTAGTGTTTATGAATCCGACCTATTCCGCTGCTGAGACACAACCCAAACAGCGCATTTCAGTTTGCCGAGGTGCCCTGCATCTGAAGCAGGTGGTACAAAGAGCCGCCGGACATGTACTCCAGGAATATGTGCCTGTCTCTGGGCTTCAGGGCGTTAAGGCTTGGATTTCATTCCAAGGGTCGGATCTTGAACCGCTGGGTTCTCGTGAAAAGCGTTTTGGCGGGTTCCCGCAATATCTCTGCGGGACAGACACTTCTCGAGCTTGGCGTGGCGAGAGCTCGGGTAGAGGAGCGTTCGGGCGGGAGGAACGTCCATCGATCGCGGGGGGGAAAGGCTGTGCACTGGATACAACATACAAGCCTCACAACCCCTGCAGCCTTTTCTCGTACATATTGCCATGTCTGTTTTCGCCAGCTCTATTTTGACTGTATGCACCAGACGCATCGCAAAACCATACACTCACGCTTGGCTTTTACTTGGATATGCACAGGAACTAAACGTCGTACACTTACACTAGAGCATGCAGGTAGTGCATGCGTGTGGCTGTTCTCGCAAGCACAGTGTCTCCATCTCACTCTGACTCTCTCTCTCTCTCTCTTTCTCTCTCTCTCTCTCTCGCCCTCCCTCCTTGCCTATAATTAAGTCTATGCAGATGTGGTGTGCCTAATGTTGCAAGTGCACATATGCCTTCTAGCCTGTTGTTCGCTCGTGCATCTAACAATGTGCGCTGCACATCCATGTGCACGTCCGGTTATGTAGTGCAAACTACTTCAAACTACTTAGACTTGTTTGTCTGTCTGCCCGATGTCTGAAACACGAACTTTGAAGTTAAAGTTCTTATACTCATCACAAACAACGGCGGCATTCCAGCGAGCTCATTTCTGCTTTGCGGCTTCCAACTATGGACGTGTCGATGTGGCTATGCAGGAAACAGTCAAACCAACGACTCATTGTTTCGACTAGCTTTGCTTCCATCCAGGGTAGGACAACTGCGCCTTGTGAACTCAATCAGATCTGCACGTAGTTCAACCCTGCAGAGAACTGCCAAGCACGGCTCAGCAGTTTGCTTCGAGAATTGCCGGAAACAAAGGAATACGGCGCAGCTGACGAGGGGCATCTTGTCTGCAAGCAACTCCGTGCCAAGGAATGCCACAATGTTCCTCGGCTAGTGCACAAGTAGATTGTGAAGCGATGGAACACATCCGCGCCAGCATCAAAACGTAGTCAATGCCCGCAGCTTCGCGAAACAAGGTATTATTGCCTGAACAACATTTGCCGAACCCAAACTACCAGACAAACACAATCTTGCGGCGACCCTGAATCCGCACTGCAGCGAAGCTTCGAGTGACTGAGACGAGCGTGGAGCGACACCTCCATGGACATACGGACCGTTTCGACTCTCTCTCACACTCGATTTTTGGGGAAGTCTAGGCATTTTAAATTCGCGACTACATCAACGAAGGCTATCGGATTTAGCTGTGTTTCGCAGATTGGGCCATAGCTGCACGTTTTCCCGTGTACCGGTGCAACTACTCATCCGACAAATCCGATGATGTTATGGCCGAAGCCGCCTCAACCCTGTAACATCCTATAACCCCAAACCCCTCATAGTTACCGTCATAGAACCCTTGAAGGAACCCATATAGGGTTCCCTTTAAGGGTTCCTTTAAAGGGTTCCAAAGGTTCCCTCTGAAGGAATCACAACCCCCCCCCCCCAGCTCCCAGGTCTGAGGCTCCAGCCTCGCGCTCCAGGATCTCCGGGACACGGCTCTGTCCGTCCTCACCGATCTCGAGGTTCACCTTTGGGGTCTTATACTTAGGGTTCCCTTAGAGGGGTCCTTAAAGGGATCTATCAAGGTTTTATAATGGGGATTATTATGGGAGTTTCCGAAAACTAGGGGTACCTTATTTGGGGTTCCTCATAATATGGATCCTACTATTTAGGGTACTATATTAGGGTCACCTATTCTCGGAAACCCCCATATAGGGGCCTCAATAATTCAATAATTAGACAAGGGTTTTGGGGCTCCTTTATGGTATAGTTATAAGACGGAACCCGAAGGAAGAGTATAGGTAATTCTCTAGTATTAGCTAGGCCCCTATAGTACACGGTTCGGGGTTTACGGTCTATAAGGTCTGCACTTTGTGGTCTTTAGGGCTTGTAGGGCTTCGGGTCATTTCGGGTCTGTAGGATTCAGGGCTCAGGGGTTTGACACTTAACAGGAAAAGTAGTTCCAAAGAGCACTAAAACTGCAGGGTGTCTCTTTTTCCGTTCAGGCGTTTTGTTTTTAAAGTGTAATGGGGCCTTTCCGTTCAGGCGTTTAGGCTTTAGGATTGTTAGGGGTGAAGAGCCGTTTGAGGGGCGAAGTCTAGTTCAGTTCAGGGGTTGAGGGTTTAGGCTCACTACTGGCCGAATCGTCGGAAGCTGCCGGCGGCTGCAGTAACATATTCATGCTACACGAAAAGCGCCAACTGCACAGATGTAGATACATACTGTGCAGGTGTGGACTGCATGCAAGTGTGCACAGGTGGGAAGGCCTCAAGACAAGGCAAGAGGGGCTTGCATACAGCGCTTGACCTTATTCCAGACCCCCGCGGCCCCAAACCAAAACCCTTAACCCCTTGCCCTCTCCACCCGTATACCTCTCTAATGAAGAAGCCTAAATGATTACCAATACAGTTGGTGGTTCCTTGTTATACATAAAGTATAATGGGCCAGAAACCCTTTTCTAATTATTCAGGTGCCTACACAAAAGCCAACCTCTCAAATAGCCAAACCCTAATCTACACTGGTCGTCATCAAAGGCGCCTCCTTCACGGCCATGACTTTACCAGTGTGTCGACACCTAGCCTGCCATGGTGGTCTGGGGTCTCGAATTTAAGGCTTAAGTTTAGGGTCTCTAGGATCAGGTTCAGGGTTCATGAATTTGTCTACGGCATTCAAACCTCTACGGTCTGATTATTACCATTTTGAGTATTAATATGATCATTGTCGTCAGTCTAAATATTAGCATATGCTGTTTCTACCGTATGACCAAGGATGAAAGGATTGCATAAAGGGAACTCCAGAAAGTTGGAATATGGATTAATGGTAGGATCCCCTATAGTTGACCTTAAAGGGGTTACGATAATGATATTCCAACTTTCTGGCTTCTACTGTAAGGGTTTGGGGGGGGTTGAGGGTCTCCAGAAGTCTTGAGGTTTCGAAGGGTCCAAGGCTTAGGGACGAGGCTCGGAGGGTCGGGGGGGTCGTTTCGCAGCTCGTAGGCTTTATGTCTACGTCTGTGTAGGGCTTATCGGACTCAAGGCTTAGGGCTCAGCCTTAACCCCTAAGCCCTAAATAAAGCCCTGGTCCTTGCGGTTTGATACTGCTGTAGTCCTGGCTCTAATCAAATTGAAGCAGTCCTAGCCCCCCGCTAAAGTTGGGCCCGAAACCGCAAAATTCCGAGGGCCGGAGGTTCTCATGCTTTGGGGAATTTTAATCTTTGGGTGGAACGGATCAATCCCAAAATCCTAAACCATAAAATGCAACCCCACCACACCCCCCCAACAACCCAATCCAACCTTCCCTTCCAAAATGAAGCGGCCCTGAACCCTCCTCGGATACTCCTTGAACCCGAAACCCTTATCGCGTAATTAATCCCCGAGCAACGAGTTATAACAGGAAAAGATGATTAGGAACCCGAAAAACATAAACCCTGAAAAGCTAGGCTTTCCACCAGGTAGCCTGAATAATTCGAACAGGGCTTTGGGTGACAGTATACGATAGTAAGAATAAGGACCCCCCAAAAACCAATTCGAATTCTTAAGGACCCCCCCAAAAAAAACAATTCGAATTCTTAAGGCCCGTACATTAAACCCTCATAATAACCCTCATAGCAATCCTCATAAACCCTTTAAAAAGGAACCCTTATGAAGGGCCCCCTAATTATTCATATTCTTAAGGCCCCGACAGTAATCCCTGAACCCCTAATTAGGAACCTGATAACGAAACCCTCGGCCTACAACCCCAAAAAAGCAGGGTTCAGACAAGGAGCCCCCAAAAAAGTGCCCAAGGTTCCCTACATTCGGGGCCTTCCAAACTGAAGCCATTGCCCCGCGCCCGAGGAGCTCCTCGGCTTAGGGTTTAGGGTGTTTCAAACAACAGGAAACTTATTACGGTTTAGGGTTGTAAAAGGAAACTTAGGGTTTAGTTTTAGGGTTACCAACTTTTGTGTTAGCTCAAGGTTTAGCGTTTTGGGGTTACTACAAATTTATAGCTGAAGGTTTAGGATGTAGGTTTACTATGAAATTATAGCAGTTACGTTTATTTAAAGGCTTAGGGTTACCATAAAGTTAGAGTTTAGGGAGTTTAGGGGTAACTTTGGGGTTTCTGTGAGGGCTTGAGGTCTAGGGGGCACGTTGGGGTTGGGTTCATCTTAGAAGCACCTGGAACAAGCATCCCTGTAAGGGTGTCAACCTGCTTCCTTCACGGGTTCCTGGAAGGGTTGGGTTCCTTTCTATAATAGGGTTCCCTATACAGGTACTCTAGGGTTCTGTAGTAGGGTTCCCTTCAAGGGCTATTGCAAGGGTGACTGTACCCGGTCAGGATTCCTTAAGGGGTGCCTCTACGGGTTCTACAAGGGTGACTGGAATGGTTTCGGCTTTGGGGTCGGTGAGGTTGGCAAGCACTCGGCAAGAATTGTGTGGGGCTGTGGGACTAAACAAGGTTGGAGTCTTAAGGGTTTGGGGTTTGTGCCGTACCATGTTAAGATCGCAGCTACGATCAAGGGGGTGCCGAGTTGAGTGGCTTGCGATTTGTGTTCTCTTTGCTTCAGTCTATAGCCACGCGAGGCCAGGCGTCCAGGCTCTATACCACCGTAAAGGAGCTGCGGGAAGGTCTTTGGAGAGAAAAGACCAAGCGTGTCTGCAACACTTCTTTAGACTATATCCCAGAATGTCAGAAAGTTGGGAACTGGAACCTGGACGATTGTTGCTGGTCTAGTCTAGTCCTGAACCCCTGAGACAATCAGGGCATTATGCCGTCCACGTCTGCTGCCATGGCTCCTCACGGCACCACTCAAAATGACCTGCTGCGAAGCAGGAGGCAACAATGCCCAGAGGTAGAAACTCTTCATTTTCTGCTTTCACGGTTTAGGTTTCAGGCGCTTGAAGGCGCAGGGTGCAGGGTTCATGATTCAGGGTTTGGCGATTCCCGAAGATACGCGGAACGTTCCCTTTGAACGACATTGCTTTGATGGCCCAGCACACTAAACGCGAAATCAGGCAGCTGTTTGGCGTAGAGAAAGGAGGGTAAACCACGTACTTCTGCTCGGGTGGGGATGAACCCTGAACCTTAGCTTGGAACTCCATTTATGACCCAAAATGCAGCCCCCAGCCTCAAGCACAAACACAACAGAAGCTTCTTCCTGAAGACTTCAACTGGCACTGAAGCACCCAAATAACCCTAGCCTAAACCCCAACAAACCCTACCCTCCCTAAACCCGAAACCCCAACAAACCGCCCGGAATCTTAGAGAGAAACCCCGAGCGCCTCGCGAAGGGATTCTCGAGGTCGCTTTCGGCGACTTGGGAGCTTTCTTCCTGCGCCTTCCTCGGATTAGGCTTCGGGGTTTAGGGGTTTAGGGTTTCAGCACTCACACTCGGACGAACCACAGCGAGGATCCCAGTACCATCAAAAGCACATTGGCTCCTCCCAACACATTAGTCGGGGCAAACGTTAACACTCAGGCTCTACTCTCAGGCACTAACCCTACGGACTCGACCATCCACGCCACCATCAAAGCAGCTGCACTGACAGACCACAGGCTGGCCGCTCAAGACAACTATCCGCATACATGTTTCATGCAGGGAAACAGTCCATGCTCGGCAGCCCCTTGCAGGCAAGACATCCAGACACACCACCCTGCTTTGCCGACACAGAGAGCTGATCTCGGCGCAGCAACAGTATATCCCTTCAGTGACAGAAATCCCGACGACTGTTCAGTATATACTATCCAGGCTGATTGCGTATCCAGTCCAGGGCACAACATGCACAATCCTGTTGAGGAATCCCCAAATTCAATGCACACTTGCACTGATCTTGCAGCAATAAATTCACAAATTCCTGGCCTCATACCAACAGCCATCGCATACTGATCATATCATGCAGAAACCCACGAATCACGGAGGCTCTGCCCAGAAAGGTGATACGCGCAAGCGGATCGGACTGTAGGCCACAGATACCCGACGACTGCTCAACATATGCAAGCCAGGCTGTTTGCATCCATTCCCAGGTACGGCATGTACGATCCCACTGAGGCAGTCCCAAATTCCATTCACACTTGCACCGACCGTCCAGCAATAAATTCACAAATTCCAGGCATCTTGCCAACGGGCATCACATGCAGATCATATCATGCAGCTCACGACTCGTCACGAAGGCTCAAGCCGGAAAGGTGGCATGTGCAAGCGGATCGGATTGCAAACATCAGGTGGGACCAAGACGCACAAACTTCCCTCGCATCAGTCCCACATGGATGGCATGTAAGCGGGCTTTGTGCCCATCGCAGCAGTCCCAAAAGGAGTGGCGTGTGTAAGCTTGGCATACTGGAAGTCTCTTGCGGCATCCGCACCAAATTTGCACAATGTTCCCAGGGAAAGCGCAAGCGATCGGCATGATAACAGGCCACCGCAGTAGAATGTCAGCACAAATCCGAGTATTGCATACGCTCCTGGCAGAACCGACAAACCTGTTGGCCCACGCGTTGCAGCTGTCTGTTTGCGATCCCGCGTCCATGGCGGCAAGTGCGTGGGTTAGTGGTTTCTAGAACCCGAGTGGGGGAGCACCTACCTAGGAACCCGGAGAACCACGAACGATAAAGCCGCAAAATCTGAAGGTAGTAATGGGAACCAAAGGAAACCCGTAGCCGACTCGCCCCCATAGGGAGCGATGGGTCAGGGGGGCCCAGTATCGCGTCATCGCGAAGCGAGGAAACGCCATGGTCGGCGTGTGGCCTGTCCGGGGCTGCGGTGCTACGTTTCTAGGGTCTGGGGCGGGGTCGGGCCAACAGTCGGTTTACTACTCCAGAGTCGACTCCAACACAACAAGACGCTGGGCTGGTTAGGGAACAGCAGGCAGCTTCAAAGGCAGGTCTCGGTGTAAGGGGTAGGGCTTGGGACTCATTGCACAAGAGCGCTCGGCTGACTGACTTAAGGAACGGGAGGATCGGGAGGGGGGTCGGGTTTTTAGCTTGGCTTATCTACATGTTCGCCTGCCCAGCACTTCCTGCATGTTTTCATGCGCGCGTTTGTCTAGTGAGTAGAGGGTTCATTACTGAATTCGCAATTCCGCAATTCTGGAATTCCTAAATTCTTGCACTGGCAGCATGCATTAAATTCTCATGCGTACATGCCTAAATTCAACATGCAGACGGGCCATTCGGCAGAGAAAAACTCAGCTCGCAGGCCAAAAGAACAACCCTCTACTGGCATCGACCGTTCCTGGGCTCTGGAACTGGAGAGACAACAAGCAAAGTAAATATGGTAACAGGAGAGTTGAGCCCAGAGCCCATGCTGTACTAACGGTGTACGCCGTGTGCTTACATCACCTGTGTCGGCCCAAGCATCTGTTGCAGAACGCCCCTCGGGATGAAGACCGTCCTCCCATCTGGGAGCCCAATCGGCATGAGGTAGCTCTGCCGGTTGAGCGTGCCCGTCATCTGGACCGGGAGTGACTCATCCAAGTTCAACATAGTGGGCGGAGCCACCGGTGGTGGTGGGCTCGGGCTTGCCCTGGACCACTGGTCACGGTCCGGCGCAGGCTCCCCCGGTGCATCAACAGGAGACCCTGCCTCAGCACGTTCGGCGTCCAAGGCGGCAACGTCTTTCTGGATCTGCTCAACGGAGTCCCTCATGTTTTCGAGGAGACTCCGGATAAAATTCATTTTATCTGGCAAATGATCCGTGTGTGTCTGCACGTTGTCCACAGTATGCTGAATCCAGCGAGCTTGGGCAGCGGTGTCTTTGCCCTGCTTCGTCAAATTGTAGGCAGCATTGGCCACTTCCTTCAACACATCATTGAAACGGCTGCCCATAGCTGTCGTGAACTGTTCCTGTGATCGCTTGAGGGGGCTCAGGAAAGTGATCACCGACGCGTACTCCGACTTGATCTGCTCCTTCATGGACTCCACCACGCTATCGGACTTACTTGCAGCCGACTCAATGGCCTTGTCCAGGATGGCCTGTACATCCGTGGTGACCCCTCCCACCTTTTCCCCAAGCTTGGCCCGGACCTGCTGTAGGGTAGCTTCAACATCTCGTTTGGACTGAAGCAAAAGTTTCTGCAGTTCCAGTTGGTGGGAACGTAGGGTGTTCCCCATGTTCGCGTGCATGGCGTGGATCGAGGCCACCTCCTCCGCGGTTCGCATGAGCTTGTTCATCACTGCCTGGATGCGGGCTTGGGCATCCCGCGCGTGCTCCCCGGAGCGGCTGCGAGTGAAGTCGTGTTCCACATGAACCAGCGCCTGGATTTGCCGGACAGCCATCGTCAATTGCTCAAGCTGAAACGTCAAAACATCAAGACGCCCCCATATGGAGCGGCTGCACCACATCTGCGTGCCGACGAGGACCGCCACGATCCCTAGGGTGAGAGCCAGGAGAACGCCTCCCGAGTAGTCTTCTTCCTGCATGCCACACTGCCCAGCATGTCCATCGGAGGCGTAAAGGGCCACCGACATGGCTTCCGCGGGGGTCACTGCGTAGGCTAGAGTGCTGGGGCCAAGAGCTATCGGAGTGTCTCTACTTACACGCCCCTCTCCAGAGTAGCATGCCCAACTGCATCGTTACAGTCGTATGAAGGGTGGTCACAGCATCACACTTACCCAGTATAGCTTCAAGTTCAGCAAAGGAAGGCAGTCCCGACAAGCGACACAGCAAAGACCCGAGCCCCGAGCCCCCAAGTGCGAGCCCAGAAAACCGAAGGCACCCAAAATTAACCCAAGTTCAAGAGGATCCAATGCAGACGAATCCGAAAGCACCCAAACAAAGAACCCAGGTCAAACCACCCAAGACCCTTGTATGGACCCCGCGGAGACCAACGCGCCTGGAAGAGGA